TCTCTTCCCCAGGAACGGATTCCCCCCTCTCCCCTTGCCCCTCGCCCCCCTCCCGCCTCGCCGCGGTGGTTATTTTCTCTGGGATCCAATAAATTAAAAATGGATGGCGGCTCAGAAAGTGTGTGCCCCACGGAGTGCGTGTGCGGGCTGTGTTTCCGCGGCCGCCCGGAGCCCGGGCCCCTCCCTCATGTCCCCCCACCCCCAGAGGGAAAGACCCCCCCCCCCCCCCGCCAGACACCCGGACGCGGGCCGGGGCCCTGGAAGCAGGTGTGGAGTCTCCAGCCGGAGGCCGAGCTGGTGGATGGAGGCTGCACAGCTCCTGTGAACACGGGTCCCATCAGGGGGGCGTCGGTGACGTGGGTGTCACGCGATTTTAAGATCCTTGCACCCCTCCCCCCACACCCTTCCCTATTCCCCCCATATCCCCCCACCCCCCCCCATACCCGAGACAGCCCTCCTGTGTGTGTTTCTCCGGATTGTGGCTTAGCCGTGGCAGACAGGCGTTCGGGTTTGAGTCAGTACGGGGTGAGGGGAACGCAGGCGCCCGCCTCTCTCGGCTGGAGTTCCCGGGGGGAAGGGGAGGGCAGGTGCAGGGGCGGTTGTGAGGGACCCACCCTGTGGGCGGGGCCCGGGGGTCCTGTGTGTGTGGGGGGGTCCAGGCCAGGTGAGGCCCAGCTGAGCTGAGCAGCCTGGTGGGGCCGGCGTCCACCGTGTCTCCCATGTCTGTCTGCGGCCCAGTCCCTTCGCCGCCGAGCGTCTGCCCCAGGACCCAGCGCTTCCCTGTGCACCGCGTGCCCGTTGTTATCTGTGGATCCGGCTTCATGGCTTCTCAGTGCCCTCCCCAGCCGGGAGGAGGCCCTGCCTGGTAAATGACGTGTGGTTTTGTCGTAAAAGCGGAGGAACGGGCCCGGTGTGTGTCCGTCCATGCGTGTCTGGCCGTGCCCGTCAGGATGTAGCGTGTCCCCCGCCCTGGCCCGGGGTGCGGCCTGGGGACCGCGCCCCGGGCACCCACTCGTCTCTCCTCCTCCTGGATCCGACGGGGGCCCTCTCTCCCCCTTACCCGCCCGTCACCGTGAGCGCGGCCATGTTTCCAGGGCTGCCCACCTCGGGGAGCTCCCCACCATGGCCCGCAGCCCCTCGAGGGCACCCCTCCTCTCTCCCTGGGGCCCCAGTCTGCCCGGCGAGGAGGGGCTGGTCTGCGGGGCCCGGGCGTTCCAGAAGCTGGTTCTGTCTGAGCGCGTCTGTCATCTTTCCCGGTGCCTTCTCCTCTCCGGTGGCAGGGGCCCGCTCTGCCCGCCGGGCACAGGCTGGCTCTCCGAGGTGCCGCAGGACGGAGGAAGCAGGGTTCGGGGGCCCGGCGCGGCCCGCGTTGCCGGTCCCTGGGCGGGCCAGTGGCTGTCCCTCCTGTTGTTCCTCCGGCGTCGGGGACGCGGTTCTCAGAAGGGGCGCACCCGCGCAGCCCGGTATCCGCCCGCCGGCGGAAGCAAAGCCGCAGGCTGCTCTGGGGGTGTCTCCCAGGCCCGGGGGTGAAGGTCTAAGGCCCAGGAGGCTCTGACCCAGACAGTCAGCAGTTTGGGGGTTGGGGGTGCCCATGCCCCCGTTCTGGGAGGCGTCTCCTGCAGCAGGCCCCGCGCCCCGGGAGGGGGGACGGGAGCCCCGTTCTCCGGCTGGTGGATGCCCTCCTCAGTGGGAGTTTTCCTTCCAACCCTGGAAGTGGGGGGCGCTTCCTGGTGGGTGTTTGGCCTCCCGGCCTCCCTGGGAGGCACTGAGCGGATCCGGGGTCGGGAGGTGGGGTGGGGTCAGGGCTGCCTGTGGCTGGCCAGTGGGCCCGGCGGCCCTGCTGCCCGGTGGGCTGGCTGTGGGGGGCGGAGGCGGGACCCTGAACCGCCCGCAGGGAATGGACGGGGAGACTCACACTCAGAGGCTGGGGCTGCGGGGCTGGCGCAGGAGGAAGGGTAGGCAGGGACCGCTCAGTCAGGGAAGGCTTACAGATGTTCTCCCCACCCCCCAAAAAAAAAAAAAGAGGGGGTTGGGGGGAGGACAAGGAAGACAGAGCTGGTGCACAGAGGGAGGGAGAGGGAGGCATGCTTGCACACGGCGCTTGTGACCTTGCTAGTGTTTAAAGGAGCCCGTGTTTCTTCCGAATGACAACAGGAATTTGAAATGACATAGCTCCCCCCGCCACGTCCTAGAACTAAGTGCGCAGGGAGCAGGGACCAGGCGGGAAGTTCATGGAAAGCAGCGCAGCCGGCAAGGGCAGGGGAGCCAGAGGCCACGCTCAGCGGCAGCAGGCACCTCCCGGCCTGGGTGCTGCTGGGAGCGGGCGCTGGCCGCCTCCGTCCCCGGCTGCTGGCACCACGTGGCCCGGGGGGCAGGCCGGGGCGCCCCCGGGCAGGACTGGCTCTCACCCGGGGGCGGGGGCCGCCCGCCCTGCCCCCCGGAACTCACCCGTGTCATTGGAACTCTCAATGTCATTTCGTTCCCCCCCCCCCCCATCATTTCCTTCGCGCCTCTCTCTTTTTCAACCAAACAGTATTTTGACACCCTCCTCCTGTTTATTAGGGTCCAATGGCGAGGAGTACGCCCTGCTATTCCCAAAGAGCTGCTCTCACGGCCCTCTCCTCTGGCTCTGGGATTGCGGAGATGTAATTGGTAATTAAAGGTGTGAGCTTTTCAATATAAACAGTATTGCTCAATGCTCGATCGTTAAAGGGAAAAGAGGCTCCGGATAATTACCTTTTTCTTTTTTATCCCCACGAACGGTTTGCGGGAACCCAGCTCCCCCCCCCAAAAAAACACCCCACCCCCCACCCCAAAACCGCATGGGGCGGGAGGGCGGCGACTCCACTCTAACCTGGGAGATCAGTGACGTAGCATTGACCCCCAGCTCCTCTCTCAGTCCGCTCCCGTTCCTCTGGCAGCGTGAGGGGTGGTGGCCGGGGCGGGCTCTGTGCCGAGTGCCTCTCGGACCTCCCGGGTGCTTTTGGGGTTTGGGGTTTCCCCATCTGCGGGGGGCCTTGGTGGGACCACGTTGCCACGTTTTGGTAGTTCTGCGTTCCGTTCATGGAAGGCTCTGTCTGCTCTTCAAGAACCCCAGGCAGCACCTCAGACGCCCATCTCCCTCCCTTCCCAGCGGGTCCTCTTTGGAGACCCACACACGCATGTTTCATACGTGTTCTGTGTCCTGTGGACTCAGGCCTGCCCGCGGACACGCACGGAGGAAGCCTGTGAAGCAGTGATTTATGGATAGGGCGGAAGATGCCGCAGGATGTTTTCCTGAAATTATCTGTTCTCTGGCTCCGGCCCGCCCACCGCTCCACGGCCACGGAATGTGTCTGCTCCCTCCCCGTCCTCCCCTCGGTGCTCGTGCGGTTTGCCCGATCCTCCCTGAGCAGCTCACCCCCGAACGGGGACCTTTCTCCCCGGAGTTCCCGCCGCTGAGGACCCCGACCCTCGTGCCATCTCCCCGACCCCTGCCATTTGCTCTCAAAAATCTGCACCTCGAGTTCACTCAGGCCCGGAGCGGGGCGGGCGCGGCTCAGGGCCACGTCTCTGACTTAGGCACCTTTTTTGCTGCCGGCTCTCCCAGGGCCCCCTACCCCCGGAGGTTTTCATTGGTTCCTAAATATCTGTGTCCTGTGCCCCTTACAAAAATAAAATAAAATAAAATAAAATAAAATAAATACAGAAATGTATCGGCTGCTAAAGAAATCGGAAAATGTACAAAACCCATTGGAAGTGTGGTTTGCCATCGGCCCGGAAATGCCCCTGGACTCCGAAGGATTTCTTCCCTTTCCTTTCTCTGGGAGTGAGAGGGAAGCAGCAGGCACACAGGGCAGCGGCTGTCGGTGAGGCTGGGAAACCTACAGAGCCGTGGTCTGCCCTGTGCGGGGTGCTGGGGACGGCCAGCTGCCCCGCAGCCACAGCCCCGCAGGCCCCTCCCCTCCCGGCCTGGCTCTCCCTTCGGCTCTTTCTCCTGGAGCTGGCACCCCCTTGCTGGGAGCGCGTGGCTCCTCTCTCTCAGCAGGCCCGGGCCTCTGCCGGCCGGCTGCCTGGGCTTCTGTGTTCCCGCCCAGGGCTCAGCCAGGCCTCAGGTGGAGGAATGCAAGTCAGACGCACATGAATGGGGAAGCCATGAATGAGAGGAAGGTGGGAGGCGAGGGGGGCGGCAGGGGGAGCTTCCCCCGCCCTCCTTCCCGGGCCAGAGGGCTCTGGCTCCTGGCTCTCGGCCATGGCTGCCCGTCGGCATCACCCGGGAGTCTTACACCTCGATCGCTCCCTGATGTTGGGGTTCCCTGGTGCTTGGCCTGGGTGTGGGAGGTTTTCCAAGGTCCCGGTGGTTCTCCGATGCTGCAGATTCTGAGAGACGTGTCTCTAGACCACTGGTCGGCAAATACATTCGTCCACAGAGCCAGGTATCAGCAGTGCAACGGCTGAAACTTCTTTTGAGAGCCACGTTTTTTAAACGTAAACCATCTAGGGAGGTGCGTTGTTATTCACGTAATGTCGGCAATACTCCTAAGCTGGCCTCTGCTAAAAACGTCCTCCGTCTGACGGAGGTGCGTTCGCGGAGGCCGACCTCCCCCAAAGAGCCGCCGGTGGCTCGCGAGCCGCGGTGTGCCGACCACCGCTCCGGCTGGTGCCGCCCCATCTGGGAGGGCTGCGTCGCCGTGAAACCAGGATGTGTGTTGTATGCTGTGGGGTGGGGTGGGCGTGGGGGAGGGGGCTGGCAGAGCATCAGCTGGGAAGCAGTTAGGTCAGCCCCGCCGAAGCCAGGAGCTCCAGGGATCCCTGACGTTGCTCCTGGAGCCTCCGTGGGCCCATGTGTCACCCACCTTCGGGACGGGGCGCCCCTGCCTCCGGGAGGCCTGGGGAGGGGGACGTGGGGGGCTCTGGCGTCCTGCCTCCAGCCGGGGATGGGCTGGGACGCAGGCGGGGGTGTGTGCGTGCTGGTGACTGCCTAAGCCATCTCTGTCTTCTCTGCCCCCCCCGCCCCGCAGCTGAGGCTGACCATGTGGAGGCTGCCATCCTCGAAGAAGACGAGGGTCTGGACATAGAGGAGCCCAGCGGCCTGGGGCTGCTGGTGGGCGGCCCGGACCCCGACCTGCTCACCTGCGGACAGTGCCAGATGAACTTCCCGCTGGGGGACATCCTGGTGTTCATCGAGCACAAGCGGAAGCAGTGCGGCCTGGGCGTCTGCTACGACCGGGGCCTGGACAAGGGCAGCCCGCCGCCCGCCGCGCGCCCCGAGCTCAGGAGGGTGTCCGAGCCCGTGGAGATCGGCATCCAGGTCACGCCCGACGAAGATGACCACCTGCTCTCGCCCACGAAAGGCATTTGCCCCAAGCAGGAGAACATGGCAGGTAGGGCACCTCGCGCTGGCCCCCTCCCGCGCCCCACGCCCTCCGTGTCCCATGCCCACCCTCGCCGTGCCGCGTGTCAGTGCCGGGCGGCCTCCGGGCCCCCCGCTGGGCTCGCCCTGTCCGAGGGCCCAGGGTCCAGGTGGCCCTCTGTGGGAGATGGGCCCAGGGTTCAGGGCGGCCCGATGGGCTGGTGGTTGCTTTGCTTTAGGCCAGGGGGCGCCGCCCAGGTCTGGCCTACTGTGCGGGCGGCCAGGAGGTCAGGATGGGAGCCCGGGCGTCTGGCTGGCCCACACGGTGCTGTGGCTCACAGCTTGGTCTTGGGCTTGGGAGCCTTGCTCTTGGGCTGGGATCTGTGCTTCTCAGCGTGGCCCGATCGGTTTCCCGTCTGTGAAAGGGAGCCGGTGACCCCTCGTTCCTCAGGGTCGTGGTGAGCTTCTGGGGCTGCCTGTGGGGGGGCTCTGCCCAGCCCGTGTCCCTGAGCGGGGCAGCCACGTGCCATCGGATTGGGTGCAGATGAGGGTTCGAACCCTGATGGTTGACTCTGCACACGTCGCTCCTGGGCCCGTGCCTCGGTTTCCCCACCTGTCAGCCGAGTGATGACACTGGCCAGCCTGCGGGAGGATTCTGTGGGCAGCGGCTCGGTGAATGCTTCACCCGTGGGACGTTCCTTTGGGGCGGTCCCCTCTGTGCTGCCCTGGGCAAGCGGGTGTCGGCGGCCTGCTGGGCCAGTGTGCGGACCCGTCTCCTTCCTGGTTTGGCCACGGAAGCTAGTGGGGAGGTTGGAGGGACTGAGGCTGTGGTGCCCCGTGGAGGGTGAGCCTGGCCAGCCCACGGGGGAGATGGATGGTGCGTGCAGAGACCCCCCCCCCGCCCCCATCAGGAGGCCGTGGGGGCGGTAATACAGCAAGCCCAGCTTCTCTGCAGCAGCCACGTGACTGTGGGCCGGCTTTGCCCATCTGTAAAATGGGATCAGGGAGCTAGATCTGTGGTGGTCTGCGCTGGGGACACTGGCCTGGGGTCGGGGGGGTGTCCCAGCAGGAGAGCGCTCACACGCCTCCGGCACCGAGGTCGTTGAGAACAATGCCCCAGGCCCCGGTCACAGAGACCCCAGCTTCCGAGCTCCGTGCAGGCCCGAGCAATGCTGCCTTCGTTATGTCTGAGAACAGTGCCGCGTCCCTTTGTCTGTACCGGTGAGGGCCTCGCCCTTTCTGTTCTTAATCACGTGCGCGAAGATGGCTCTCCCAGCAGCACCAACGCCTGGCATCGGTGCCCACAGACCCTGGCGGCTCTGCCGGGGACGGGCGGCTCCCTGCGTTTGCCAGGAGCCCTCTGAGTCCTCCTATCGGGGCGGCAGGTGCTTTTCCAGGGAGAGGCTGCATGCAGAGCACGGAGGGCATGTGTGTTTCAGAAAGCAGCTACGTATGCTTTCCTAAAAGGCCACGTTAATTCCTAAGGCCCTGTGTCTCTCCCCCGGCCCTCCCCTTTGGGTGTAGGCTGTAATACAGCAGCGGCCTCCTGGTACTGTTGCGTCATGTGACCAAAGGTATCCTCGGCCTTTTCTGTTCCACAGCAGGGCGGATGGCTCTCTCCATTCCTGAGGACCATGTAAAACAGCCCCTTAGCAGTCTAAAGGGACGTGTTTGTTCAGAGCTTTGAATGTGGCATTTCCATCAGAGGCACAGAGCCGTCCCCATGCCACGCCAGCCGGAGACGGGGTCCGAGCCACGGCCCACCACACTCCTTCTCTCTCTCCCGCCCCCCCATCCCCCTTCCGACTTTGGCACCAACTTTTTATTTTATTTTAATTTTTATTTAATAAAAAGGGGAAGATTAGAGAATAAAACTTCAGGGGCTCCCACGTATGAAGTAATCTAATATGGTGGGAGCATTAATTATTTTAGCGTAATTGAATTCTGAGGACTGCGGCGGTTGCATTTCTGTCGACAAGCCCTGTTTATTCTTTCTCCGTGTAGATGAACAGCAAAGGAAACGCAGATAACTCCCAGTTATTTATTGTAAAATAAATGTGTCAATTCATGTGTAAAGCAAGCTGCTCCGGGATAATTGAGCCTTTATATTTTAAGAGGAGGCCAGGGACCCCAGGCTCGGCTCCCCAGGGCTCCCGGAACCCCGCCTGGCTGCTGCCCGGGCCCCTGGCACCGCTGGCTGTGCCGGGCCTCCCGGTGGCTGTTCGTTCTCGGGGCCTCGCCGCTGGCATGGGGTCCGAGGGGAGGTGCTCGCGGTGGCCAGGCGGGTGGTGACTTGCCTGGGGGGCCGTCTGCGTGTTGTCCCCCTTGAGGCCAGGTGCTTCTGGAAGCCGTGATCCAGAAATAGATGTGCAGGGCTGCCCGGTCACTCGTGGGGGTCCCTCCCGCTCTGGTGGGCAACCCCGGTGAGAACTACCTTGGGATTCTGTCAGTCATCACATTAGGGCGGGACTTCCGGTCACCCTTTCCTGGGGACAGTCATTCTGGGGATGGGGATGAAGGATGAATTCCTATTCCTTTTTATTTTTATTATTTTTTTAATGGGAGGGAAATAGGAGAATGGAAGGAGGACGTTTTGGAAGCCTTGTCTCCTGAGGGCCTGCATTCAGACATCCATCCATCCGTTCAATCATTCAGCAACTGAGGGATGACTGCCCTCCACCCCCCACTCCCCACCCCCACCGGGTGGTGGAGTCCTAGGGGCCCGGAGCACGTGGGGCTGCTGCTGTGTCCCGCGTGGGGGATGCGGCCAGAGTGAGGGCGGGTGGGGTCCCCACCCTTGATGTGTGTGTGGCTACAGGCCCAGGCCCGACGCCCTGAGCGTCCACTCTGGGCGAGGCGGTCTGTGGTGCTTACATCCCATCTGGGGACAGAGAGGCGACGCTGGTCACAGGGGAGGACCTTGGCTTGGAGGTCTGAGTGGGAGGAAGGCATCTGATTCTGGGACATACCAGTCTGTGCAGGAGCTCTTTCCTTCCTTACGGTCCCTTCCTACAGCCCACCCTGCCTCTGGGAGGTTTCTGATGGAGCTCGGCGCACCGGGGGGGGGGGGGGGGGGTGGAGACCCTGGGGGGGGCCGTCGGGAGGTTCCGGGGTTTGCCCAGAGCAGGGCTCTCTGAGCCCATGTCGGGGCCGGCCGTTTTGAGGAGGGGCGAGGGGAAAGGGAGCTCGAGGGGGTGAGGGGTTTGTGGCCTGCCGCCTGGCAAAGGACCCCGCCCAGGTGTGTGCCACCCTGCTGCCTGCCCACCTCGCTGAGCTGCAGTGCCCGCACCTGGGGACGTCCCTCACGGTGATGGTGACTTCACATGACACGTGCTACCCACGTGAGCGCCCTCCCCTCGCCCCAGCCCCGTCGAGTCCTGGGGTTCGTGTGGGCCCCTCTGGACCACTGGGTTCTGAGGATCCCATCGCCAGAAATATGGTGCCGCCCTGTGTGTCCCTCCCCTGCCAGCCCCCATCCCGGTCGCATTGCTGTCCTGGGGCGGTGCTCTCAGGGTGCGCCACCCTGGGGAGGGTCTGGGGTCCGAGCAGCCAGGGCTTGGGCATTGGCTGGACCCTGGAAGGCCAAGTCCCTTTCTGGAACTCCATTGCTACGCCTGCACCTGCTCCTCAGCACACAGATCCTGTGACCACGGAGAAGGGGAGGCTTTGCGAAAGCCGAGCTTGGCGGGGGGCCGGGGGGGGGGCGGGGATGGACCCTGCTTGGCGGCGCGAGGGGCTCGCTTCCCTCAGGGGAATGTCTGGAACGTGTGCGTGGTCCTCTCAGCCGCGTCCCCGAGTTCCGTCCTTAGCATCCCCGTCTTACGGCCTCGGGAGGGGAGGCTTTCCGTCACGCGTGCTGGGTTCCTGCGTGCTCTCCCCTCTCCCCTCACCAAACGGAGCTTCAGCCATCACTCAGAGGTCTGCCTTTTGCCTTCTCTTCCTCCTCCTCCTCCCCCCACACCCCGAATGTCAGATTGCCGGAGACAGGCGGGAGACAGGCAGCGGGGACAGAGGGGGCAGGCGGTCCCCCGCCCGCGGACGGGTCTTCACCTGGAGCCCCAGAGCCGGGGTGGGCCTGGGCCGGGGCGCGGACAGGGGGTCCGGTGTGGGGTCCCGGGGACCCACTGCAGCACGGAAGGCACCGGAGGGAAAAGGCGCCTCATCAGCGGGAGGATTTACATGCTGCCCTGAGACTTCGCCTCAGACGTTTAAAAATAAACAAAATAAGTGCGGTGGGGGGGGGGGGGGGGGTGGAATTGGCTTGGCCAGTGGCAGGAACGAAATAACTTGGCTCGTGCTGGGAGCTCGAGATAAACTCGCTCGCAGTTCGTCTTGAAAAACTTGCATTTGATACATTTCGAGTTGTTATTTTCCCTCCAAATTAAGATTGGTTAAATCCGTGTGTGTTGTGGCATGGATTATCTTTTTCTATTATTAAACCGTGACAGCTAATTATTAGCTGTGTCTACACCATGGAAGAGGGGAGCGCTGTCGGAGGGAAGTGGTCTGGGCTCAGGCTGCAATGCTGACTGCCCCCTTCCCGCGCCCCCCTCCCCTCACCCCGAGCTTGGGCAGGGCTGGTGAGTGCAGGGAAGGGGGTCTGGTCTGCCTGGTAACCCACCCTATGCTAGGTGCTTTTTTTTGGGAGAAATAGTCAGCAGCACTGAAACAGATACCTGTGACCCCCCCCCCCCCCACTTTGAAATGAGACATCCCTAACCCTACTTTGCACTGGGGTTCAGAGAGGTTAAGGGACTTGCCCAAGGTCACACAGCAAAGTGGAATCGGACTCCAGCCTGGCCTCCGTGGACCACACGGGGACAGAAGCTTTTGGTGAGAGGTCGGCAGAGCCAGTGGAGGCAGGCACTGCCTCTAGACCCCATCCGAGGTGGTCCTGGCAGCTGGTCCCAGGTGTGATCCTTACCCTCAGGTTCCCAGAGGCCCTGGCCCACACAGAGTCAGCTCTCCAGGTCTCCGCTCCCTGTCGAATGGAGATCACCTCTCTCACCTTTCAGACCTCTCGTCGGTTTA